TCACAGTGAGCATAAAAAAAATCTTTTTCATTTCAACTGGCACATCACACAATTGAGTGAATAATGAATTTATTGATTCTATTATTATTATATGGAAAATAGAATCACACAGACCGTTACTATTTCGTAATATTTTTAATTTTCAGGTAATGTTTTCACAAGAAATGCCAAATTAAACAAACAGTTTTTGAAATATATTGAAAATATTTTAATAAAAGTGGGTTGTCATAAATTATTATAGTATGGAAATAGAAAATATTACAATTTATATTAATTTGATTTGTATAATGATTTTGACATATATAAAATAATATTAAAACATCAGTTTAAAGGCAAGAAGGTTAAAAACGTAAACAATTACTATCTCAGAACAATACGCATTTAGAAGGGCTAATTAGGGGTCCATTCGTAGTCGCAAAATTTGGCGCTAGTGAGCCGATGAAAAAGTATTTTCAAATGTTTTATGCATAGATAAATAAGCATATGGTTTTATGTTGTTACTAAGAAAAGTTAGTGTCTTAGATAAATAAGCATAAAGTCAGTGTTATTTTTGTGTCAGTTTACAAAACGGCGATTCTTGTTCGTTTGTGTTTGGTATTTTTGTAAAAGGGCGCATTAAAGAAGAGAGATTTCACTGATTTTTTTTACTACACTGATTGTGAGTTACTTTTTATCACAGCTTGCTCTCGAGAAGGCCAGTTTTATATTTAATATTTATAGTTTTTTTTGTGCTTTTTTATTATAATTCATTCATTTATGTTCATTGCGGTTTATTCGTTTCGGCTTTTTTATTACACAGCAATTTATTTCTATTTATATATTTACATTTTTGAGTTATGTTTTATGGATTCCTTTCTTTTATATTTACGTGTAGGTTTTAGAGATCATTTTGTAAGGCTTAAATTTTTATAGAATGTTTTAGTTATAATTAACTTCCCGTAGGGTAGTTTATAAGCAATTGGCTAAAAATCAAAATTGAATTTTTTTTCATTTCTCGCGTTTTGAAGGTTTTGAACATTTTTGGCATACTTTAGAAAAATGTTGTAGTTGAGTCCTTTTTAAAGATCTATGAATACACATTAATGTTTATCAATAATTAAGGTGTTAATATAACATAAATGTATTTGATTATAAGCAAAGTGAGACATAACATTATTAGAAAACACAATGAAGTTTATAAATTGTCTATTTTAATAAATACACTTATGCCAGAATGTAAAATATGCTAAACAAACAACTATTCCTTTCATAAAGAGGTCAGACAGGAGCGATGAGCTCGTCTTTTATAAGAGTTAGCACAAAAATTATATTCTAAACAATAAAATAATTGATAATGAGAAGATTTCGACTTGGTACGCAACAGTCTACATTTTTTGACATTTGTACAATTGCATTTTGTTTTGATTTATTTTATTATTTTCTTATCAGTTTAAATTGTTTAAAAATAATCTGATAAAACTACTAAAAACTTAATGATCCTCAGGTTAATGATTATATTACCTTCACAGTGAGCATAAAAAAAATCTTTTTCATTTCAACTGGCACATCACACAATTAGTGAATAATGAATTTATTGATTCTTATTATTATATGGAAAATAGAATCACACAGACCGTTACTATTTCGTAATATTTTTAATTTTCAGGTAATGTTTTCACAAGAAATGCCAAATTAAACAAACAGTTTTGAAATATATTGAAAATATTTAATAAAAGTGGGTTGTCATGAAATTATTATAGTATGGAAATAGAAAATATTACAATTTATATTAATTTTGATTTGTATAATGATTTTGACATATATAAAATTAATATTAAAACATCAGTTTAAGGCAAGAAGGTTAAAAACGTAAACAATTACTATCTCAGAACAAAATACGCATTTAGAAGGGCTAATTAGGGGTCCATTCGTAGTCGCAAATTTGGCGCTAGTGAGCCGATGAAAAAGTATTTTCAAATGTTTTATGCATAGATAAATAAGCATATGGTTTTATGTTGGTTACTAAGAAAAGTTAGTGTCTTAGATAAATAAGCATAAAGTCAGTGTTATTTTTGTGTCAGTTTACAAAACGGCGATTCTTGTTCGTTTGTGTTTGTATATTTGTTAAAAGGGCGCATTAAAGAAGAGAGATTTCACTGATTTTTTTTTACTACACTGATTGTGAGTTACTTTTTATCACAGCTTGCTCTCGAGAAGGCCAGTTTTATATTTAATATTTATAGTTTTTTTTGCTTTTTATTATAATTCATTCATTTTATGTTCATTGCGGTTTATTCGTTTCGGCTTTTTTTATTACACAGCAATTTATTTCCTATTTATATATTTACATTTTTGAGTTATGTTTTATGGATTCTTTTCTTTTATATTTACGTGTAGGTTTTAGAGATCATTTTAGTAAGGCTTAAATTTTATAGAATGTTTTAGTT